ATTTCCGTCACTACCGCTCGCTTGACTCAATTATCTGTCTCTATATCTATCTATCTGCTATTATGTCTCCACTTTATTTGCCGGGCTTATGTACAATAAAAGAGGGCGCCTAGAAAAGACTAGAGTTACCAGGAACAGTCAAGATCCTTCGAGAATCTCATGACTTGTTACCAGTGCCACGTGACTTCCACTGTCATAACAGTACTAAAAAAAATGGAGTTCTTAAAAAAACTTATTTTTTCAATAAAGGATACCACTTTTAATATATAAAAACATTACAGTTTATATCAGCACAATCCAAACACTTTTCCTGTGCAGTACTTCCCAGAAAAATCCTTTTTTGAAAATGGTAACTTTTTCTAATTTCTTTTTCAGTGACGTATGAATACTATGATTAGTAATTACTAGTACAAACAGCCACCTGTAGGATAAAAAATGTACAAATAAGTATATATTTACAAGGTGTTTTTTGAGCATTATTTTATTTTTTAATAATACATACTGTTAATATTTTAGGTATTGTCCATGGTAGAAGAAGAGACGAGACGTTACAGGCCTACTAAAAACTATCTTGAACACTTACCTGCCTTGAATCTACATGGTTTTGAAGTATGGAAAAATTCTATTATCAATACTATAATTTTATTTTCTGTGTTCTTATTAATATTATTGAGTTAGGTGTAAAGAACTGACAAAATTGACAATATATGGAAATAGTTAGTGTGTTGTTATAAATTCATCAGTCAATTGAAGAAAGTATAGATTAATTCCTTACCCCTCATTTTTCTGTGAATGTTTATACTGCATAACTGATTTATTTAGTGTTAAATAAACTATACATTTTTATTTCTACATTGTGTGTGTTATGTTCATAACTACACCTTTCTTGAGCTTGTGTTCCGAAGGAAGTTGTGACAAGCACTGCCACATCTTGCATCTGTAGTTCTCTGATCATGAAGGAAACACTCACAAAGTAGTATTCTTTATCCACACAGTATGCTTATAACTATGTGATAAATTACAAATATAAGTGTACTAATTCTCAGTAATCAATAACAAAATCAGTAAATTAACATAGCATTAAAATTTGCAAATATCAATCATTTTATGAAGATAAAACGAAAACATGATATTTATATTTTCTTTCAAATTTTACCTTATGTCACAGAAAATAATATCATAATGTATAAATAGGCAATATAGCCTTCATAAAAAACCTAAAAAGTTTTGTGCCGTACCTTTTATTTTAAGTCTTCAGCGGGTGTAACCATATGTTTAAATGATTGCATGAGCAACTTTTGTAATGAACAAATGTAGCTTTTAATCATAACTAACTTATTTATATCAGACAAAATGTCTACATCATAATAAATTTGCTTACTTTTTTATTTGAAAAATTAAGGAAACCTTTACAATACATAGTATGACCTATAGTTTTTATTTGTGATAACTAAATACATAAATATATATTGAATATACAAGACTTTAAGGACACGTTAACAATATTTTATTTTTAATTCATGTGTATACCATAAATAGATTCTCAGGTTCATCAACATTAGTAATCCATATTTTGATTAATGATTTAACCCTCTCACTACAGACAACCTATTCTGGGCATGTTACAAATTTTTTAGTGAAATACATTCAAATTTTAGTGTTATATGAAAATCAAGTTCTTAATTTTATAAGGCAATATTGATAAATGCTCAATTTCCCCTATTATGAGAATTGTGACATTTGCTCTTGAGGTATCCCCTCTTCTCTAATATATTTACAACCCATCTGAGAAGTATGAAATGTAACATAAATTATTCATTATAATCTTGTCATTGCTCAGGCAAAGTATAATTTTTATATTCTTCACTGTTATGGCTACAAAGCCATAAACTAGAAAATCAGATCCCTCTAGCCACATCCACCTGTCACATCCCCTCTTTCACAAATTGCCAATGATTTTTTCTTACATTTAATAGTATATTATTTATAACCAATAGAAAGCCAGAGTTTTAATTTATCAAATGATGTATTATGTTATTTTCTGTCCTGAGAATTGCCTATTTTGCTTCCTGTTCAAACTTTATGCCCATGAGAAGCACATCAAGAAGCTTAAATAAAGTTTTAATGGCTCTTGTCGCATAGTTAGAAATCCTTAAAAATTGTGATAGTTATAGAACCATTGTCTGCTTTTTGAATGTTATTATTCTATATTCTTTGGTGCATTTTTTAATTAATAAAAAAATAACTTAGTGCAGCAGTGCCATTAGTATAAAAAAATAGGGTAAGGTTTCATTGACAATCTACAACA